GTGGCCATGGTGCCCTGGGACTTTGTCTTTTATGTTTTACAATTCCTTAGTGTGTAACTCTAAATTCCACTGGAGGAGACCCCCAGGGTAAGACTCAGCGGGCTGTTGGGGTGCACTCTGGCTAGGATAGACCCCAGCCCACATGGTCTTACATGGACAAAAGCAAAAGATGGAAAATGCTCCTCCGTGGTGGGGTGAGAGAGGGACAAACCCCACACAGATCTTCTGGGTGGGCTGGTGGAGGTGCCTGTGAGTTGTGTCACATCGTGTCCTCTCCAAGGGATCCTGCTGCAAGCTCAGAGTCCCTGTCAGCTGCCCCAGCTAAAACACAATGAAACATTTTCTTGTCAGGTTTTAGTTTCTTGAAGGTGTGAAACTAAATTTGGCTGTCACTCACATTATTGGGAGATCTCTTCTTTCTGCTTTCCCAGTGCTTGGGGGCTTTAGGAGCTGCACAGAGAGTGGGAGTGCAGCATTCATGGGTCTAAAGGCTGTACCACACAAAAGGCTCTGCCAAGGGTTTGGATCCAGGTCTCCATCTCTGCAGGAGGAGGAGATATCAGATCCCTTCAGGGGTGATGGGGATGAAGGTCCCTTGGCCATGATCTGCCCAGTGCACTGAGGGTCTTTGTGTCAGCTCTGGGAGCTGGGAAAGAAATACTTTTCTTTCTGTTTATTCTTATTTTTGTTCTTAAAAAAAGGAAAAACCTTTGTTTATCATTTATTTATGAGTCTGAAATGTGATCTTTTATTCCTGATATGTTTTCCTGCGATACAGGCCTGGAGAGGGCTTTTTTTTTTTTATTATAGCTCTGCCCATAAATTATTTACTTAGTGTGAAGAAAATGTTCTGACTCTTTAACTGGTTTAAATTATTTGGTTTGTTTCCTAGTAGTTATTCAAATACACATCTCTGGATCTTAGTGTGGGTGCAGGTGCTTTAGGGTCCATGCTGACTGTCAGGGAAAGTTTCTCTGATTCCCTGCTCCAATCTCTCTTTTTTTTTTTTTTTTCTTTTGTGTGTGTTTTTATTTCATTTTTGAACTGGAAGTAAGAGGCTTTTTGGTCACTAATGGAGCAAGTCAGTTAATCCTTGCAGCTGGGTTTAGGAGGAGGCACAGTGCCCAGCTGCAGGCAGAGCCTCTGGCTGAGTGGGAGCAGAGTGTGGCCCTGAGCCAGCCTGGCTGGTCCCCAGCCTCTGGAGACACCCCCACCCCATTTCCCACCTCCCCAGGGTTCCTCTGCCTATTTGTGACCATGGGAAAGTCAGTGGTTAGCAGGACAAGAGCACCCTTGGTTTCTCTCCATCTCTCCCCACTGGTTTCCTCAGTATGAGAAAATGACATTGCTTTGTACCCAGAGTCTGTGAGGGATGAGGAGGCTGAGGCAGAATGTGCCCCACGGGCTTCAGGAGGACTTTGGCTCCCAGAGTCCCCAGCCACAGGGATCCCTCACCAGCACACCCTAAAAAGGAGATTTTAAGTTCTCAGTCCTCAGAAATCCCCAAAAAGCCAGGTAGTCTCAGTTTCTCCAGTGGAATCTCACTCTGCACAGCCCCATCCCATTCATCCTTTTTTCCTCTTAATTTAAATATGTTTTTCCTTGTAGAGGTGGGTGCTGTTGCTGAGCTAATCCATGCCATTCCCTGCCCATTCCCTGGCTTCTGTGCTGGAGTGTCACAGACATCTTTTATGAAAAAGCCTTTCCTTAGGATTTTTCCTCCTGAGAAGCTGGGAGGCCTCAGGAGCAAAATGTAAACAATGATTATTTGCTGCTTGGAATGCAACAGGTGCATCTGATTGGTCTCATGTGGTTGTTTGTAATTAATGGCCAATCACAGTCAGCTGGCTTGGACTCTCTGTCTGAGCCACAAACTTTGTTATCATTCTTTGCTATTCTATTTTTAGCCAGCCTTCTGATGAAATCCTTTCTTCTATTTTTTTAGCACAGTTTTAATGTAATATATATCATAAAATAATAAATCAGCTTTCTGAAACATGGAGCCAGATCCTCATCTCTTCCCCAGTCCAAGAACCCCTGTGGGCATGGTCACACTGGAGGTTTTGTTTTTACAGCCTGTGGTTACCTGTGCCTGGGGCAGGCAAGTGGCTGCAGTGCAAACAGCCCCTCAGGGCAAAGGATGATACCACAACTCGGGATGTTTACATTTCCTATCCAGTGGCAAGCACAAACCCTTTGCCTCATTAATCCATTGCAATCCATGAGAGTTGTTTTTTCCTCCCCCTAAATGAAATTGTCCATTTGGGATCCATTCATTTCCTCCTAACGGCCTCATGACAGTTCCACTGATGGAGTTTGCATCCAACTTTCTTTCTGAGTAGTGACAAGTCAGCCTGATGGATGCATGTGTGTAATTATTTTCTTGTGGTTTGATTTAATTAATGTTTAACCTCATCAAAGCCCTACAGCTGGAGCACTCTCCCTGCAGGAACTGCACACAGCAGAAGGATTTCCTCCTCTATGGAAAAGCCCTGAAAGGGTTTCTGAGTGCTATTCCTTCAGAAGGATGGGATAAACCATCCAAACCTGATCCTCAGCCCAAGGGAAACAAATCTGGGATAAACTTTGCCTTGCTTTCCTTCCCTGCTCTGAGTGTGCATAAGCTGCTGCCCATTGCTCCTCATTAAATCTGATTTAGCCCTGAGTGTTTCAGCAGCTCTGGGAGAGGTGCTGTTTCCCCAAGTAGAATGATTATAAAAAAAAAACAAAAACAAAACACCAAACCACACCACGCTCTCTATTTACAATGCCATATAACTTTATTTTGCCTAACGACTCTTTCATACAACGTTTCTCCCTAAACACTTTCTATGGAGTGAAGCACATTCAGAGCTTATAAATAATTGAGGGAGAGTGAGGATGGAGAGAGCTGAGGGTGAGAGGGGAGGGCTGGAAGGAAGAGATCTCAGCTGGGGGCTGGCAGACCTGGAGGGAGGGAGGGAGGGATGCTGTATTCCAGAGCGTTTATTGATCCTGAAATGCAGCCCCAGAGCATCCAGAATGGGGCAGCGATGCCCTGGGGACAGCAGCAGGGCAGGGGCTGAGGTTTGGCTGCTGCACCGGGCTGTGTGCCCAGCCCCGGGCTGGGAGGTGCTCAGAGAGGGGGTCTGGTGCCCTCTCCTGGGGCAGGGCTTTAAAAACACTCTGGGTTTGGGAAGAAATAACCCATAGTGGTCCTTCTCCCGAGACACCATGTGCTGTTCATCGGGATGTGCTCCTTACTGGGGATGCAGCTCTTGTGCTGTGGAGGTCCTGGTTGTGCTCTGAGTTAGCCAGAGCTGCCTGAGGGAGGAGAGATGAGGCTCAGCTGGGCTCATCCCTGGTTCCTGCTTTTGCCAGGGCACCTCTTCTTTCACCTTGCCCTGTCTGACTGCCCTGTGGTGCCTGTGGAGCATCACATTTTGCTGGTGAGGTTTTTCTGGAGTTCACCTGGGAGCTTTCACCTCACCTGAGTCATAATATTGTGTCCAGCTCTTTGAGTCGCTCCTTGGTGAAAATAAAACCCTTCAGGCTGTGCAAGGGCTGCTGTCTGAGATCAGCATCATCCCAGATTTCCACAGTGGAAGCCCATGGCTCTGTCACCTCCTGCTGCACCTCCTGCACTGCTGGGGTGTTCTGGGTGGAGACAGAAGGAAAAAGGAAGATTGGGGAGGAGGAAGAGTTTCCTCAGCTGTATGTGAAGCCAGTGTGTGTGAACATACCCTACCACAGGGTGCTTTGTTTTAAAGGCCTTTTTTCTTTATACTTTCATGGTTTTGGGGTTAACTGAGTAAGTTTCAAAAGAAAATGTTTGTGCATTTGTTTATTTATTTCTCTTTAAATCTGCATCTAATTTACCTTCCTCTGACCACATTTGATTTTTTTTTTTTTTATGTCAGTTTTCTGGTGCTCTTTTCAGGGATAAATTAATTGAACTGAAGATTTCCACTTAGCTAATTGCATTGCCCTGCCAGCTCCTCTTAGTGCAGTGCTGGGGACGGCATTCCTCACCCAGATTTTCCTGGGAAGCCTGGGAACATAGGGCCTTGTTGAACCCCCAGAAAGCAATATTGTATGGAGTGAACGAGCATGGAATGGGGTGAACCCAATGTAGTCAGTGAGGGAAGTTGTGGGTCTTGAATTCTGTGCTATGTACAGGAATTTGCTCTTTTTCTGAAGGAAAATGAAGCAGAGAATCCTTTTTCCATTGATAGTGGCTGCAGGGTAGAGGGATCACAAAGATGTCACCCAAGGTGGCACTGCTGGGGACAAAACTAAGCTTCCACTTCTATTATAACATCCAACTTTGCAGGATTAAGTAGCTGAGGTCAGCTTGGCCTCAGATAGGAGTTATCCAAACAGCTACTGTTAGTTATTTCTTTATTTTTACTCAGTTTTGATTCCTTTTACATCTACAGTTCGTTCCCTGAGATGTTCTACGACCTCCTGGCTTCAGGGAAAGGATTAAAAATGTCATGTTTGTTCTTTATGTCCTCTTTAAAGACAAAAATCTCACTTTTAAAAATATCCACGTGGCTTCAGCTAACAAAAAGTCGTTGGGGATGACTCTGGTTCCTGAATTTTATTTCCTTATCCCCACTCTGCATTAACGGGACTGTCTTTAATTACAGCATAACGAGGTGTTTGCCTTGGCACCCCGCCTTGCTCCCCACTAAATTAATGCTACACTCAAAACAAGCACCCTGCCCTGGCTCCTGCCTGAGCTGAGATCTATTTGAAGGGATTAACGAGCTTGTAAATCTGCAAACAGGATTAGAAACAAGAGCATCTTGCTTGAGCTCCCCTGCCCCACTGCCTGCTGAACGAGCTGGGCAGGAGATGGGTTGGGTGAGGAAGGGGAGCTGTGTTTTTTCTCCAGTCTCAAAAGCAGGAGTAAACCGGGTGTAAAGAGGGAGTATCTCCCTGTGAGAGCTGCTGGAGAGAGTTGTCAGTGCATTACTGATACCCAGCCCTTCAAAATTGCCATTTCCCTGTTCTCTGTCTGTAAAGCGTCTTATTCCAGTTTATAACTGATTGCAGTGATTAGAGTCTTTTAGTTTTCTGCTACTGGGTGTTTTTCTCCCTGTTTTGGAAGGAAAGGGAATGCTGACCAGGCAGAACTGCTTGGCTTTACCTGGATGCTATCCTTGTTTATCAGTAATTGCTCATGAGCATCCTTGGCCCCATCGTGATTATTCTCAACCCTGTGCCCTGTTCTTGTGACCAAGGCTGGTAATGGACGTGGAAAAGGAGGCACTGCCCCAGTTGTAAATGTCTCACTGGAGTAATTTGGTCAGATTTTGGGGCCAGTTAAACATGAAATCATGTTCTTGGCAAGATTACTTGTGGATTAGTCTCCCTGCGTCCTCCAGATTGGGTTCTGAGATCCTCAAAACCACTGCCAAGATGTGGTCCAGCATCCTTGATGGCACCAAGGTGTAAAAGCTCATCCTTGGTGTGTGCCCCAGGCTGGCGTTGCCAGGCTGACCTCTGGCACTGCATGTTGGGTCAGAGGAGACGTTTCCTCCGCGGGCTGGGGCCCCGCACCGGGTCTCACAACTGCTGTATTTATACATCCTGCTCAGTGCTGGGTAATCAGAAAATGCAATATCGCTGTCACCAGCTCTCTGAAGACATCCAGCCTGAGTAATTTAACATGTCAGCTCCATCCATCACGGGCACGCAGCCGGCACACAAACGCACAGTGGCCGGAGGGGGCTGGGCCGTGGCTGGCAGAGCAGCTGCTGCCTGTGCCAGCTGCCTGCTCACCTCACAGGGCTGCGTGAAAAATCACTTGGTTTTAAAATTTTAGAAGTTTAATAGTAATAAAACGGTTATAAAAATTGTAGTACAATAAGAAATAGTAGTATAATAAGACAATTTGAATTGGGGCAATATGAGACAATAGAAACAAAGAGTTACCGACGGTCCGGGTACCTTTTCTGGGTAGCACCAGCCCGAAAAGGACACACATTAACAAAGGATTAACCCTTTAAAACAACAGCCTGTTGCATATTCATACACTTCATACATGATGCATAAATTCCATTCAAACACAGGATTCTGTCTGGTCATCATCAGCTTCTTCCTCTGAATCCTAACAGTGCCTTCGAGGCAAGAAGAAGTTTGGTTCTTCTGATAAGAGGGAAATAAATTCTTTTTCTCTGAAAGATTCAGGTGTCCTGTGGCTGCTATCTTGCTACAAGTCCTTTCTTTACAAAAAAAAGTATCCTCCATAGCACAGTTTCTATTTTAACATTTTTTATAACCTAAAACTATATTTAACACACTACTTAAGAGAATTATTACAGCATCACTTTCTAACACAACACATATAATATTAATTTTAATATTTGCGAAAAGCCAGTCATACAATACACATTTTTCATAGGTGTGACAGCACACAGAGCACCACAGGGCTCCCTCTGTCCACCCCAGCTATCTGCCTGTGCAAAAGGGGCCAGCTCTGGTGCATGGGAGGTGACAGAGGGATGTGACATGTCCTACCTGCACAGGCAGTGTCCAGGTTCCTCTGCCAGGCAGGGGCAAGGGCTGTGCTGTGTCAGAGACATCTTTTATGAAAAATCCTTTCTTTACAATTTTTCCTCCTGAGAAGCTGGGAGGCCTCAGGAACAAAATGTAAACAATTGTTATCTGCTGCTGTGGAATGCAGCAGATGCATCTGTGATTGGCTCATGTGGATGTTTCTAATTAATGACCAATCACAGTCAGCTGGCTCGGACTCTTTGCCTTTGTTATCATTCTTTCCTATTCTATTCTTAGCTAGCCTTCTGATGAAATCCTTTCTTCTATTCTTTTAGTATAATTTTAATGTAGTATATATCATAAAATAATAAATCAAGCCTTTTGAAACATGGAGTCAGATCTGCGTCTCTTCCCTCATCCTTGGTCCCCTGTGTATGCTGTCACAGTGCTGAGCTCTCAGCAGTGGGGGGACTCTCCCAGAGCCGGTGTCTGTCCCCCAGCCCTGGCCCCTGCAGCAGCCCCTGCTCAGTGAGAAGGGGATTTGCAGCAGGGCTGCAGCCCTGGCTGGTTGCCCCACGTTAGAAGCCCAGGTTAATTAAGATTTTCCTCACTCATGCAAATAATGCTTATTGGTCTTAGCACTCTGCTGTGGCTCTCAAACCCCTTGGAGTGGGTGTATCATGGCTCTGCCTGTTTTTTGTGGTGTTTGTGGCTGAAGAAGGGTCATGGATTGGGATCTTTTAACGCCCCCAGCCCCCTGCCCAAGCCCTAAATGCTGCTGTGTGCAAGCGCTGACCCTCCCTGCTGCTCCCAGGAGCAAAGGAGCCAGCAGAGCCCCTTCCTGCCCTGCTGCTGGAGCTGCCCTGAGGGCACTGCTGGGCCAGGGCAGGGCATGGCCAGGGCAGGAGCCACGTGCCGAGCTCCTGGTGTCCCTCTGGCTCCTGCCAGCCACCTCTCATTGCCGTGATTGAGCATTTCAGAGGGCAGAAGGCACCGCTCATTTTCTGTTCTCCTGCCAAGAAATGGGGAAATTGCGCTGCTGCCTAGAATAAAAGATTTTTTAAAAACAGTAAAATATTTTAATGGCAGTTTAAAGGGCCACTGTCAACCCCCAGAGGCCTCTTTTCTTTAAGCTCTGCAAAGATTGAAGGACTTGTGCCAATTAGAGTCTGTGGTGCTTTTTTAAGTATCCATTGCTTCTTGGTTGGTCTGGGGATGGAGCCAGCTGGGCTCCTGCTGCATCCCACACCATGTCTGGAGAGGGGGAGGCTGGGTGAACCACAGGCCAGCCCTGCTCCTGTCGGTCCTGACTGCTGCTGTCACAACAAACTGAGGGAGCAAATGGGGCAAATTGGGTGCTGAGGAGCAGAAAAGACCCTCAGGAGGGTCCTGGTGCCCCCCCCCCCAAGGGTTGTATTCCCCCTGTACCATTTGTCCTTGCTGGGTTTGCTAAATTTCACTGCATTTCAGCATGCAGGTGTCCTTGGGGAGAGCAGCTGTCACACTCGGGGGTTTTCTTTGTAAGTCCCTTGAAATATATTTGTGCTTTCATTTCTGAGGATAGAAAGTGTCTTCTTACATTCACATCACTAAAGTCACTGTGGGGGTCTTGATTTTTGATGAAATCATGAATGGTAAAAGTTCCTGATCACTACTGGTGACCCCAAGCATGAAATAATGAATGGTAAAATGAAATAATGAATGGCAAAAGTTCCTGATCACTATTTGTGACCCAAAGCAAAGAACCTTAGCAAGGAGTGTAGGTTGCTGGCTGAGGAGCTCCTGGCTCCACCTGCTCCTGAGCATCCCAGCTGCCAGGGCTGATGTTTTCCTCTCTATTGCCTGCAGGTGGGATCGGGTTTGGACGTGCCAAAGGCAACTCTGGCTCGGAGGCAGACGATGAAACCCAGCTCACCTTCTACACGGAGCAGTACCGGAGCCGGAGGCGAAGCAAAGGTACAAAAGGATGCTGTGGTTGCACACTGGTGTCAGGGGAGAAGAAATGCTTGGCTGTCCCATGGGTGATGGTGTCTGATACTGCCCGAGTCTAAAGGACAGCCACACCAGTCTGTGGTGGTCAGCACGTCCCAGGATGTGCTGTTTGTGTGATGCAGCACCATGCAGGAGCCATAAATCCCATTTCCCATAAATCCCATTTCCCAGTGATGTTGCTGAGCTTCTGGGTTTCTTTGATGGTTTCTAATATCAGTTACCCTCCACATGCCCTGGCACTTCCCCAAAGCTGCACCATTGGGGAGTGGTTGTGTCTGTCCTCATCCTGGCACCAGTGCAGCTGTCAGGGATGGTTACCCTGGCAATTCCTTGCTCCAAACTCCTATTTTCTGCCCTTTATTTCCCATGCAAAACATTCATTGGATGAAAATTGCCCAGCCTTCCACTTGGCACAAAGGCAATTAAAAAGAACAAATTCAAAACGAGAGTTGGGGCAGGGATTTGTAGACCCAAGTCCCTTTAGGCTCTTTTGTGAGTTAGAGAAGCCAAGAAACTGAAATATCATCTGGAGTTTGAAATTAGTGTCCACATTTCCTCTCATCACATCACATCACATCACACCAGATCGGTTTTTGTCATTTTTTTCGGGACACTCAGTCCGAGCCGTTTGGTGGAGGAGAGGACGAGTTCTGCTGCTGCTGCTGCTGGGTTTGAAAAATCACTGTCGGGAAATAACTCCGTTGGGAAGCAATTTAAAAATTGCACAGTGGGTCTGCTCCCTCCATTTGTTTTGTGCAGGGAGCCGGGCCCCGGCAGAGCGCGGCAGCCAGATAGATGCCGGCGCCCACCGCAGCAGCACGAGGCCCCATTTGTTTCCATGATGAGCCATTCCCATAAATGCTTCCAGTGTGTTTATTTGAATGTGAAATTGCCTCAACACCTCTGATCAGCTCGATGGTTGTGCACGGGAATAAGCTCACGCATGCACAGGGGTGTGCTGCAGTTGTTCCTGCTCAAAGGCTGGGCCTTCAATTTTATATTTCTGGTTTTTTTTTCTTTTTTTTAATGTGTTTTAGAACCAAAGAAATCATCACCATGTTTAAAATGAGCTTTTGATGAAAAGGATGAGAGGATTCGTGAGTTCCTTACCTGTTGCAGTGCAAACACGGCTGTGATCAGGGGAAAATGATAAAATAAGAAACCCAGAACGGTTAGGGTTGGAAGGGACTTTAAAATCATCTTGTTCCACCCCTTAGTATGGTCAAGGACACCTTCCACTATCCCAGGTTGCTCCAAGCCTTGTCTAACCTGGCCCTGGACACTTTCAGGGATCCAGGGGCAGCCACAGCTTCTCTGTGCAACTTGTGCCAGGGCATCCCCTCTCCCATAGTCAAGAATTTTTTCCCAATAAGCTTAAACTTCCTTCTAACCCTGCCCTCTGTCACTTTGAAGCCATTTCCCCTTTCCTGTCATTCCATGTCGTTCTCCAGCTCCTTTCAGGTACTGGAAGTACTGCAGTTATTCACTCCTAAACCTTCTCTTCTCCAGGCTGAGCAATCCCAACTCTCTCAGCTTTTCCTCACGGGAAAGGTGTTCCATCCCTCTGATCATCTTCATGCCTGTGTGACAGGAGGAAGGAATTGTTATGTTGCAAACAGGGACAAAAGAAGCTGTCCCAAAACACTGCTGGTACAGGGATCAGATTTCCCAGATGCTGGAGTAGCTTTTTCAGTGACTTATTCAGGAGTACTGGGCAGGCTGTTGATGGTCCTTGGCTGCTTTGGAAAAGTCACTGAAGTTTGGGGTTTTTTCGGCTTCCACTAGGGAAAGGGGTGATAGGGCACAGGGAAGGAATGGAAAACTGTGTTTTAATGAGAGGCAGATAAATCTTTGCAAGGCTGCCTTGTTGCCATTCCCCTTGAGGTCAGCTGCTCTGCAAGCCTCTTGAAAAAGGCTCATACTGGATGTCGGGTACAAAGATATTTTTATTGACGTCTGTGTTGGTTTTTGGTTGTTGGTTTTAGCTTCCTTGTAGGGCAAATATAAAGGAGCAGATGAATGGGAAGAATTCCTTTCTTTCCCAGTGAATAAGCTGTTGTTCACCTGGGCAGCTTTGATGGCTGGGTTTGAAGGGAATTCAGGAGGCAGAGCTGCCTCGCGCCATCACACAGGGCTGCCTGTTAGATCTGCCTTAGTGTTTGAGCAATGCTGTGAGAACCTGGTTTGTTCATGTTCACTGGGGGCTAACTGAGGGAATTGTCTTGCATAAAGTC